AACACATCTTATGGCTGCCTCATAACTTAAACAGAGCATTAAACTCGTCCGCTCTGACCTCTCACCTCCTCAAGTTTTATTCACTATGTTTCTTCTAGGGATGAGCGCATTTACAAGCACATAAACCACAAAGAACCACTTGTTACATCAATGCTTTCTTCAAATCAAATCCCGCAGTGTGTTTTAGCGTGCCATTATTTGGTCATAGAGATGCAATCACAAGCATAATTTGTTCTCCGTGCCTGTGGCATCGTTCTCTTTGTCACTGTGTTTGTGACAAACTGCAAGGGAATCTGGAAATTTTCTGTCATGGGTTTGCACTCTACAAAACACTGAAATATTGTTGTCTAATATAATCGCAACGACACCACAGTATGAAAAGCAGTCAGACTTTCCCCACTTTTTTATGTTGTAGGGATGTTATGTTACAAACTAACAAAGTAGTGTACAGTTTTAAAATGTTATGCGTGATTTTAATAAGTTTTTATCTTGCAAATAAATAAGTAAAAAGTGTGGGTTGCATCAAAATTCAGCCCCTCTGAATGGCCATCCTGACATACTCTGTTTAGAGAAAACTTTGCAATGCTGTCAAAGTGCCAAAAAAACTGGGTCAGTATTTTTGTACCATTCAAGAAATTTTAACTTTAGAGTCTGAGATGAAAATCTGTTGGAAACGATCTGGAGTAGTCTAAAACATTTTCCACTTATGCTGTTTGTAAAATGTAAGTTAGTGCAGTCATTACCTTCAGGCCCATAGAGTTGCAATACCTCAACTTATTACCAAATGTTAACATTTAACTTTGTGACTTAAAGCAAGAAAAATATATGACACACAAGATTCCATTACAGCTTCATCACATAACATCTAAATCACTCAAAATAATACTTCTTGACCTTATTAACCCCAAAGCATATAGTGAAAAGAAAAGATGAGATAAAAGAAGTTATCCTCCTCTGTCTTGTCTTCGGTGAACTTCATGTAATCATGTTAAACATCCTCCATTTATTCCATCTGCTCTAATAGATTTACCAGCAGGAAATAATTATAGGCTGAAGAATAACTTTCCTCTCATTTAAAAAGCTTCAGGAGTTTTTAGAGAAATGTCTTAACAAGATGTCCAACACACCGGCCTTAGGAGCACTATTGGCAAAAGCGGTCATTATTCCTCTGCTTCTTTTGATTGCGGTTCTTTTTACAAAGTTAACTGACCTTGTGGTCGTTGTACGTGCTGCTGCATTCAATCGCTGTCCATTACAGTAAAAGGCTTTTATTCTCCTGCACCTTCTCATAGACCTGTGTGGTCAGCATGGATAAAGCCATGCCATACATAAAGAAGCAGATTCAAGTTTGTATGGAGGCACATCCTGGCCTTGACAAAATGTTCTTCTGTGGTCGAGCACAGTATGTACAGGGAAACAAAGTCTGCTCCGTCTCAGGACAGACAAAACACACATATATTACAGTCCTTTATCTGGTTATTACTGGAGCTGTACTGTACCAAGGACACACTGTGACAAAGCAGTGTGAAAACATGCTTTTTAAAGTCTTTAGAGAATATCTTATTGTTCGACTCACTGGGGCTGAAGACAAATCCATGGTAGTTTATGGAGCACTGCAGGTCATGGTCATATAGATTTTATAACAGCCACAAATGCTTAATGTTTTTAACATAAACTAGCTCAGAGGAACCTCTGTAAAACAGAGAAGTGTGGATGCTTTCTGGGTTTACAACTCAATGAATTTATCACAAAACAGCAGGAGAGGCAGAGAGAGAAATATAGTGGGGATTGTTTTTTTTCCAAGGTGTTGACAGTTATCTGTTTAGCACCAAGAAAGGCTTATTGTGACAGTTTTTTTTTAGTCACATCGAAAAAGCAGACTCCAATATTTGTCCACAAAAAAAGTTTTAACTAAGCGGCTTGAATTTATTTTTTTCCCCCACCTTTTCCATTTATCATTGAATGGAAAAATGTGGGTTCTTGATGGGTGGGATCCTCTTTGAAAACACGTGATGTAAATGATTAACAGAATCCTGTCCTGCAGAACATGAGTGCAGGTTGAGAAAATATATTACCTTGCAAAAGTATTTAAATGATGCCTCTTTACCGTCACAGTCTTCAGTGTATTTACTATTAAAGGAAGGAAGATGACGGAGCGTTTTCAACATGTATCGTACAATTGAAAATCTGAAAAGTGTGGCATAATTTTGCATGCCATTTTGCTCCTGCTTTGCAAATGTGCTAAATTTGGACACAGAAATATGGACACGATCTGATTCTGTTTTGTTTTTTTTATCGCATTATGGGTGGTAAGTAATTACATTTGCACTTTCTGATGATCAGCATATGTTTTGCAAATTTCTGAAGGGGAGTTTGTTAAATCTGCTGTTCTCCTCATTTTGCTGACACAATCCTGTTTGCATGTTGTGGATCAAGTTTGCACCTGTTTTTGTACCTACAGACCTTTCATGAATCAGGCCCACAGGTTTTAATAAATCTAAACTGCAGATGGATTTCACTTTTCAACTTCCAATTAATTTAAATTTTATAGCTTTTTATGTCAAGATTTATTTATTTTATTTTTTTTTTTTTTTACGAGAACTGTTGTGAACTTTTGAAAAGGTTTAGATTAATGCTTATGTGAAATGTGCAAAATATGAAGTTGATTAGTCATGGAAGAGAACTGAGAGTAGACTGTTCAGAAAATAAGACTTACTGGTGTAAGACTGGACAAATGGAAAGTAACCTGAACTATGAAGACTTTTCCTCATATAAAGCTTAGACACTGACAAAAAAAAAGTTATTTCAACCAAAGAATATAGTAGTTTTGTACTTTTTTTTTGTTTATCCAAAAATAATTTGGTTTCTTTTTGAGAGAAAACAGAAGAAAAGAACAGAAGCTCATATGAACATTTCCTTTGGAAGAACTGAATATGTAACAGGGTGTTTCGATCCTTCACATGACTGTGTGTGTTCAAACGAGTTGGACACTGACCAATCAGATCTGTCTCTCCTTCAGTCACAAAGCTGAGTGATCCTGGGAGCTTTATAAGGCTTTGTGACAGCGGCTCAAACAGAAGGACATAATGGTATTTACGCAGGTACGTTCTGTGAACATACACGCCTGTATGAGCTCAGACACTGCATACACCCTACACCCCACATAGGGGACAGTTACTATTGGCCACAGATAATGCAATATACTTTGAGGAGGGACACACACTTGGTATGCATGTGTGCTGAGATAATGTGTACACTCACACACACAGTTGCACTGAAAACAGCTGGTCTGTGTTCATTTGCAGATAGGATGTTGCATGCAGACACATGGATGTCAGGAGTTCTCCAGCCCCTCTGGGCAAGGTTGTGATATCACACACTCACACACATTCACACACACACAGGAAGCTATAAAGTTCAGAGAGTACAAGGCCAAAGGCTAAAGTAAGGGTGGAGGAGGAGTTTTCTGGGTCCAGAGCACATTGTGAGCCCTCATCAAAGACAGTGTTTATGTGCACAGATCACCACTGATACCCATGACACACAGCTGCAAAAAATTTTAGAGGTAGTGAGGTGTTTCTTTTATCTCTCTGACACTTTGTGCTTCAGTGGAATACAAAGACATGTTCCAGGATCATCTTTCTATTCACCTGATGCTGTAAAATCTTTACAGATTTCGTAGAAATGTAAACTTCTTTGAGTGTGACAGTTTAGAGGTGTCTTACGCTCTTATCAGACATGACCTCGTGACCTCCTGCCTAATTATCTGTTGACCCCTCTTTTCCTCCCAAAACAACCTTGACTGATGGATCCATGTTCTCCACAAACCCCTGAAGCTGTGCTGTTATCTAAATGTTCTTTGTTGATCATTTAAGTTACGAGATTTGTTGGTCAAACACATCACACAAATGCTGCTAACTTGATAAAAAGGAAAACAAGGCAATATGGAGATCAAATTTAAACCAATTCTGAACCATTATCACTTTTTGACAGAGTTCATTACTCAGTTGAATTAGATGCACCTGGTCAACAACACTGATAGGTGGTATGAAACATCCACATGGCTGACACAATCCAGTGCTTCCTGAAATGTAACACTGCCTCCACCAGCTTCTGACAGTGCATCCTGGTGCTATATGTTCCAAAGTTCCCCAGGCAGGAGATCCACATGCAACTGGTCATCCACATGATGCAAAGGAAAACATGCCTCATCATCAGACCACGCTACTTTCTTCCATAAGTGGTTCAGTGTCTGTCCTTGTACTTCTGACATTTGTAAATCACTTTGTGTTACACTTCACCATATGAAAAGTGCTTTATAGGTACAATTTCACTGATTGATTACTTTGTCCAGTCCCATTATTGGCACTTTCAGAGATGTAAAGGTATTAATCTTAACTGGTCTGTGGCAATGCATCTCCAATTGCAACAAACTGTAACCCAAAATGCATTCTGACACTTTTCTCCCAGAACCAACTGGTAGAAAAGCAATCAAGAGGCTTTTTTGTGAAGAAAAAAAAACACCCATGCTGTTCTATCCTTTCTTCTTCATTTCATACCATGCAAGGCAGATTCTCCATCTGCACTGATGAAGATCATCTCAACATGCCAATTACCCCAATATGAGGCAGTGTGACCTTTATTTCATTCATTAGCTAATGATTACCATTGTGGGGAGCTGAAAAACTGTGTAGCACATTCAACTTCCATCCCACTACGGTCAGAAAATCAACAAATTGTAATAAGAATAAATTTTATTTACATAGCAATTTTTTAGCAATGAGGCAGTGCAAAGTTCTCCCATAATGAGGGAAAAAACTACAAGCTGACAACAAAAAGTAACTCAGTCCTTGTGAAGTGTCACTGTAAATTTGGAAAATGTGAAAATGTTTCAAATTTTCACACTGAAAGCTTTACAGACTGTCTTAAGAGATCAGTTTGTATATAACAAAATAAGAAACAGCCTAACTAAAAATTGTTAATGAAAACAAAGGATCCTATTACACTTTCATCTTTTTTTATTAATCATTTTTCAATAAAGGGACAAAATGGGCGTGTGAACAGGATTATGCAGACATCTGCCAGAAAACACAGAGAGTGGTATTCCCAATACAACTGAACAGAGATCCCAAACAGGTACAACAGAAATCATAGAGCTTGTTTTGTCCAATGACCACTGGCCACCATTAGAAAAGAAAACATAATAAAATTATGGTATAACCAAAACAAAAGAATAAAATAAAAACGAACCAAAAATATATGACTCCATTCCATGTCTCTGTTCAGAACAGAGCATATAGGTAATAATAAATAGTAGCTCCCATTGTAAAAGATAAAGTTCATGTTCAAGTTACAACAAACAGCTCTCAGAACAGGAATAGAAAAGGCTGATAACAAAATATTCCGCATTGCCATTTACAAAAAAAGTCTCAACTCAAGCAGGCTTCTCCACATCCCCCTGGTCATTTTTAAATATGCTTTGCATATGAAAGTATTTTCACCCAATCTAAATATAAAGCACCATTTAGTATTTGGCAATGGAAAAGAAAATGCAAAAACATTTTATTTCTTTTTAAATGTATTTATTTTAACTTTTTTTAAGTAATCCATGTACTGCATATTATTTTTTTTTTTTACTTTAGATTTTTTTTCTCCTCTCTTCTTGATGTTGGAATGTTGTCAGGTGGGAGAGGTGAGAGAGACAAAAGCACACAACAGAACAGGTCAACGTCAGCTTTCAGTACTGCATACAGGAATGGCAGCAGAGGGAGGAGAAAGAAGTGCGAATAAAAAATAAAAAAAAAGAAGATATGTACAAACACCTCTATGGACAGCAGGAACCAAAGCAGCAGCCATCTGATGGCCTGCGACGCCTCCCAATGCCACACATTTTAGCTGCTTTTTTATGGGATGTTCTTTTTTTTATCGTTTTATTTTATTTCTTTAGACATACAAATAATTCGCACTATATTATCCTGCCAAATTAAAAAAATATACCGTGGCAGCTTGGGTTTTTTTCCACTACCAAAACAGGTATGGCAAATACCTTTAGAGAGAACAAGCAACAGTTAAAAATACGAGCCTCAATATAAATACTATAGTGCCTACTCTAAGTGAACATTGAATTCAAATACAATTCTAGAAATACAGAAAAAGTAGACCATAAATGTGTTTAAGTATAGGAACTGACATGACTGTGCATTTTCCTATATTTTAAGTTCTTTATTATATATTCATATATAATCTTAATCCTTTCCCCAATGCAAATTGTATTTCAACCTGAAGAGCCATAAAGAACCAAGGCAAAAAAAAAAAAAAGAAAAGCAAAATTAAACAAAAAATCAGCAATTTTTTTTTTTTTTCTAACGTTTCTGAAATGTTTTACCTCATATGTACTGTGACGGGAGTATTGGATGCCATTGAGATGCAGTAACAAAACTTAAGACATTTCCCACTAAAACATAGCAGAGCTCTGTTTGTGAAAGAAATTTTCTATTTATGCCTGTGTTTAAAGGAGAAGTTCTACAAAAACAGAGTCTGATGTTGTGAGGAATAAGAATGGAGTGTAATCTGTTTTTCAGGCATCAACTTGCTCAGATGATGATAAATCACAATTCTTTTAATAAAAAAAAGTGGTTGTTAATAAAGCCAGGAGAAGTGCATTCAGTTTGCTACTATGTGTGAGCAGTGATTAGTTGGGAGGAGAGTGTGCTCTTGGATTTCCAGGGTTAACAAACGGTCAAGGGTGAAATGGCAGGGATACAGAGGTCAGGGGTAATGAAGCTGCTTGCAAAAAGATTTTGTGCGTCTTTTTTTTTTTTACTGCTTGCAACAAAGGGATCCTCATCATCTGACAGCATTACAAAGATTTTCCCCTTCAGCGTAAACTTGTAAACTGGGAAAACTAAAAACAGTGCACTTCATGTCAAACAAATCCAGCTTGTAGACTCAGTCCATGTACCATCTCTGCATGGATGTGGGACAATGCACACGCAATGCTTTACATCGAACAGCACAAATGAAACTGAATAAACAAACGCCTCTTTTGGGTTTAAAATCAATGAAATAAAATAAAAAATTAACCAAAATTAAATATAACGTGCCCTGCGTTAACCTACCGTGACTCACAAAAGTGTACACACCAATGTTAAAACAGCAGGTTTTTGTGATTACCGCCATTGTGAAATACATTTTTTAAATTTTTCCATCTTTTATGCAGAGGTATGTCTCATTCAGTTCAACTAAAAATTGACAAATCTGTTAGGAGAGTAAATAAAAAAAACTATTTGATTACATAAGTCTTCACACCCTTAATCTTAAAATGTTATTCCAGCTGCCTCTATTATCACAACCTTTAAATGGTTTAAGTGGATCTGCTAAACTAGAAATAAAGCTAATCTGGATCAGTTAAGTTTATTTTGAATGCCATGGTTTATGGTGATGTGATAAAGGCTCCCAATAATCTTTTATGTACATCATAACAGAGTAAAGAAAGTCACCAATGACTTAAACAATTATGGGACAAAGGAACATCAAATTTGGATTGGTCACTAAAACAGATTGTAAGAAAAGATAAGAATTGGTTGGGGAGGCTGCCAAGCAGCCTACAGCATCATCGAAGAGGCTGCAGTAACATTTCTGCCAATTTCTGGTTGTGTTATGGAGATGAGCTGTATATAAAAAAAAAAAAGAGTTTCCCGAAGATGGCCTCATAATCTGAGAGATTTAAAGTATTTTTCCAAAATAAAGACTGCAAATATTGACAAGTCAAGATGTAGGTCACTTCTAGGCTCCAACCAGAGTGAATGCTGAAATTTAATCAAATTATGCTCCAATGAAGTTTTTTTTTTGTTTGTTTGTTTTTTTGTTTTTTTTAATTGTGGAGGAATAATTTAATTTTGAGTCTGAAAAACATGTTAATTTGATTTGTAAAATTATTTTTCAAATCACAAAAACCTGACATTTCCGCAAAGCTGTGGATAGTTTTAAGAGCCACTGTATGCATATTGGTTAGCATTAAAATATATTTCAAAGCCCTAAAACACAGATATATGTTTTTGCAAGTGTCTCTTTCTCTGCTGATGGCCGTGTTTGGAGTTGTAAAGTGAAAAAACATTGCCTTGTATCCCATAAAGCATACGTTGCTTCCAGTTCTGTTTTGCTTTCTTTCTGTCTAGCTTGTATTTTTTTTTCACTGCTCTTAAGTAAAGTTAGCTTAAATTTGAGCTCACATATTACTTTATGCATTGTTCCACACACTGACATGCTGAAGCAGCGTTGTAGGTTTGTGCTAACGCAGACATGTGACACTCTGCGCCTCATCCCTCAAGTCCAGGATTGTACACTTCACCATAGATTACCTTTCTCTCAACAGCTCCACCATACCGAAAACAAATCTACAAGTAATTCAGATATACACAATACTGCTTGTACCATGCTTGTCATGAAATTTCCAATTATATTAAACATGTTAATGGTAGCAAAATGATGATTTTGATCTTTCATCATGAGTTGTCCGTTTAAGTCGTCAGGTGCTTGATGCAAGGACCTTTTTCTGCGTGGTTTAACTCTTTCAGCTCCATCTGTGTGACCCCAAAACTTAAACCAGATAAAATTATGGCCAATGCAGTCTTGAAATATCAAAGGCACTCTTCCTTAATCCTCCAAATGATAGTACAAATTGAGTTCTTAACACACTTTTTTGTCTTTTTGAAAGAAATTTGAGGCCTGTCATCACTTTCAGTTTAGTAGTCAAGCCAAATACATAATTTTTTTTTCTTCTTTTAAACCCTGTGTGAACATGGCATCTTTTAGAAAGATCAGGATAAGTGCATTTCCAGGGTAGTAAAAAGAGGGTCAAGTAAAAAGACTGTTCACTTTCCATGTTACAAAACAAACCTGTACATGATATGTGTTACAGAATGTACGCAGCATGGATGTATCTTTCTTCTCTTTTTTTCTTTTTAAAGAATAAAAAGAAAATAACTGAATGAGAGAAAAACAGCAATACATTTACTCAACAACTAACCAACCAGGGACAAATTCTTTTCTTTTTTTCTTTTCTTTTTTGATTAGCAAAAAACATACTATGCATGCTGACTAATTCTTAAAAATGGGGAGAAAAAAAAGAAAACTCAATAAAAGGAAATAGTACACAACATGTAAATTATTGCACAAGAGAAAGGCTCGAAGTTTTGCGTCAATGCAAGAGTATTGCCCCGATACAGATCATGCATTCGATGGGTAATGGAAACAAGGTGTGCTGGTGCAGAGCACATGGTCTTAGGCTTCCACCAGGTTGGTGAAAGGGGAGTGTTGGGACAAATCTACAAGGGGGCTAGGAATAAACACTTGACTGTTGGCGACCCAGTTGCAAAGGAAAAGGTCTCATTGTTCTGCTTTCTACTCTGACTTTATTTCGGTACTCAAGGGACGGTCACTGTGCCATTTTTTCATGTGTTTCTCCAAGGTGCTGTAAACACTGAAGGGCATTTGACAAATTTCACACTTGTACACATCTTTGCCCACCTGACCATGGGTCTTCATGTGGCGAGTAAGTTTGGAGCTCTGGGCACACGCGTAATTGCACAGCTCACACTTGTAGGGTCTCTCTCCTGTGTGGCTGCGCCGGTGTACTGTCAGGTTACTGCAGTTCTTGAAAACCTTTCCACAGAACTCACAAGTGTCACTCCTGCGTCCATCCTTGGAACTGGGTCTCCCAGGACCCCCAAGGTGGGGCGTGCTGCCCCCGCTGCCTGTCCCACTGCGACCTGACATTCCCCCATCCAGTTCTCCTGGAGGGGTCGAGAAACGCAGGCTGCCATTCTCTGAAGAGTGCTCAGATGATGATGCAAAAGGCGATTGTCTGGAATCCCCAAAGTTGAGAAAGGGGTCCTTGAGTTGTCGAGAGGCAGCATAGCCAGCCAACCATTGGGAGTAGACGTTTTCTGTATTAGGGATTGTGGGGGTAGGCAGGTCAAATTCTTTCTCCAGTTTAATACGTTTTGAGAAGGGACTAAGTGGACTGGGGCTACCCAGAAGCAGTTTTTTTGAGAGGCCAATTGAAGAAGATTCATTAGGAGACACTCCTCGTCCGTTTACTGCAGAAACAGTGCCTTCCTCTACACGTTCTGTTTCCAAGACAGAGTCTCCATCACACATGTCCCGACTGTGGTGATGGTCTCTGCTGAGATGGTGATGCAGGTGGTTCTCCTGGGCCATGGCGTTGCGTTTGTGTGCGTTGAGGGCTTCACTGAAATGCTGCATGCTGGCGGCCAGACCCATTCCCTGCATGACCTCTGGCAGTGAGCGAGGGATAGACGTCTCATCAGCCACTCCGCCCAGTCGACTTCCAATACTGCTGCTGTTTTCATGCTGCCGTGCTTCTTCCAGGCTCAGTCCAAAGTGATAGCTGTTGTTTCGCTTGGGTGGCCTCTCCCCATTCTGTACTTCCTCCTCTTCCCCCTCCTCTTCCTCCTCCTCTTCCTCTTCCTCCTCCTCTTCTTCTTCTTCCTCCTCTTCTTCCTCTTCTTCCTCCTCCCCATTTTCTCGTAACATGCGATCATTTTCGCTCTTCAGCTTGGCCACCACTGATTTAAGTGCATTGCTTGCACTACCTATATGCTCACTAGTGCCAGGCTCTGGGGATGAGGCTATTGATAGACCATCTTCTGACCTGCCCGTGTTTGGCGAGGATGATTTGTGCATGTGCGTCTTCATATGTCGTTTCAGTTTGCTGGCTTGTGTGCATGCATGATCACACAAGTGACATTTGTACGGCTTCTCTCCAGTGTGGCTGCGCCGATGCACTATTAAATTACTCTGAAACTTAAAGGCTTTGCCACAAAACTCACAACACTTTGATTTCAACTGGGTGTTGGAGGAAGAGGGGGGTCCTCCTGTAGGGAGTGGGGTTGGAGGAGTGGTTTGTGAGCCCACAGGCGACTGCATCGAGCCTTGTAGTGGTGGTGGAGTAGCAAGATATGGAGGTTTGCTGCCCCCTGCACCCCCTGCACCTCCGTTTCCTCCTGTCTGGAATGGCTGCAGTAAGCGCTGCATGGGGCTTGGCCGGCTGGGTGATAGCGGGGGAGTAGACCCTGAGGTGTTGCCCGCCAGTTCCCGTAGACGCCTTGAGAAGTCCATTGACGGAGGTGGGTCTAGAGGCAGAGGAGGATTAAGGCGCAGCACCCTGTCAAAGGCACTCGGGTGGTGGGCTGCCAGCGCCAGCTCCTCTGGGCTCAGGTGGTGGGGATCCAGATGGTTTCGCGGAGGGGGACTAAAGAGAGGAGGTGTTGGGGGGAAACGTTGATGATGGCCTCCAGGAACACCAGAGCCAACTGCACCTCCTGTTCCAACGCTGTCCCTTCCCCCTGAGCCCGAGCCAGGGATGCGGAGGAGGTTGAAAGGGCTTGCATCAGGTGGCAAATGGAGGCCATGAAGGGGAGGCTGAGAAGGGCAATCAGCACCACCACCAAGGGAAGAAGGCCCGCCCATGCGTGGGGTGAGAGGACTGCCATGTTCACTTTCCAGGTAAATTCGAAAGCCATGGGAGTTCTGAGCATGCTGCAGTAAGAACCAGGCGCTGCCATATGACTGCTTGCACGTTGTGCAGGTATACGTGGTTGGCTCCTCCTTACCTGTGGGAACAGAGAGGAAATGAACTTACTAACATGTTGACTATTTGCTGAACACTGCTTTGTGAAACAGACTTAAAGAAGAATGGTCTGAATTTCTTTTAACACTTTAATGTAGAAAAAATGCAGGACCTAAGGCCTAAACGTTACAGCGTTTAAAAGGGGTTGGCACATGGTGTTGAGGGCTTTGCGAATACAACAGCAGCTCTTATTGAGGTCATGCCCCACATGAGTAGCATGTGAGAAGTACTGTTTGTATCTCTTTTTCTCACAGACTGCTTTGGGACATAATTTCTCCCTTTAGACGGACTGAGAGTCCTCCATTGTCAGCAGGAGAACAAAGATGCAGGCTATCCCTGTGGACCGTTACTTCTTACTGATCTACCAAAACAGACTCGTTGGTGAATTCACACACATAAAACACACACGCACACGCACGTATACACACCCAGGAGACACAACAAACGAAAAAAAAACCCTCTTAAGTCCTTTAAGTTAGTGGGTTTTTAGAGTTTACTAACCATCTCTAGTGCTATAAAATCATAACATCTCCATAAAATATGTACAATATTTTACTGTTAATCTTGAAGGATGCTCCAACTGAAATCCATAATCTATATCCTTTTAATCCAAAAAATACAGTACATGCTTATACTCAATGACTCATCCAAATAGGTAACCTTGGCTGCCAAAGGAAGCTAAAACTGTAGGAGTGTGAAACCTTTCAGGCTCCCGACTGAAGAGGAAATCTGACGCTCTCTGTCTGCCTCAGAGCTTTTTCTCCTCCCTCATCGCGCGGTGTACAGTCGCTTTGAGAAGACGATGAGAGGAACATTTAAAACAATAATTGCTTTTGTAGGGGCATCGGGAACGATGACCTGTGGTGTGACCCACAACGCGTGTCTAATCTCATTAGTGGACGGAATGGACGGCCATCAGCTCGTTTACGAGATTAGATGACAAACGAACCCCCTGTCGCTGCTGTTCAGAGGCGACTTTTGCTAACACAAAATGAAAAAGCACATCAAAAGCAAAAAGGAGACAATTTTACCAAAGCCTGGGAAAAGATCTTATTAAAATACCAGTTCAGTTTGTTTCTATGAAGAAAAGAATCACTATGGAATCACTGCTTTATCCATTGGCTCCTTTTTGAAAAGCATAACAAAGAAAATGGAAGTGATTCATCATAAAGCTTTTTTGTGTGAGTGCAAACAATATTTATAAAACTGTGTACATTTTCATAATTGTAAAATTATCAATAGATACTCATTAAATTCTGAAAGATGGATTCTGACCCATGAAAGGTGGTACAAAGTAATAAAAATAGTTTAATTTCTGGGAAACATTTTACACCTAAAACTGAGTTGAAACCCGGGAGAGGAGAGGTTTTATTTTTCTCTGTTCTTATTACACTTCTCTCTTTAAACTGCTGCTACTTCAAGAGATCTTGATAATTGTGACATATAAAAGTTTAAATTGACCAAACAGTTTATTTGGTTATGGATAGTGGTTGTAAATTAAGAATTTGAGTACAAAAAAAAAAAACAAATTTGTTCATAGTTTGACATTAAAAGCAACAAGTTAATGACAAAATACTCACCATTATTTTCTTTGGGCATTCTACAAAATTAATGTCCTCAACATTAATTTGAGGACCAGAATACATTTTTTTAAATTAAATTCAGTAATTCTACTACTTAAAATCACATATAAGCTCATGGAAACCCAAATTTAATTTCTCCTTACAGTTTGAATACTGCTATGCTTTATTGTGCTTTAAATTATGACATGTTTATTACAAAAATGGCATCCTATTTAAAGTTAGTCAATAGTTGCTTGGTAAGGATTTGGTCAGAGCAAATCAGGTAAGATGCTTTGGACTTTATCTGCTTTATGAGTGGCTTAACTCAGGACTGCAACAGTTATAGCCCAGTCCTAGACACGCCTGCGTGGGGTCGCTCTGAAGCCCTCACAGAAGCTGCAGTCCATTTCTTACACATAAATGTCCCTCAGACTCTTGAACAAACTTTGTAATTCTCTCCAGAAATTATCTTTCATTTCTCCTTTTCTCCTTTCATTAAACTTCCATTTATATCTTTGGATACAACAGCTAGCTTTTTTAGTAATGATCTGTTGGTTTGTGGTGTACTGTTCTTGCTCAGCTAAGTCCCCATAATTTTTTAGGCAATGGAATTAAATAATATTTATTGGTCTCATGTAATACAGTGAACCCTCCCTATAATAAGCTTCACTTTTGCTGCCTTGCTGTTTCACTTTTTAGTGCAGTTATTTTTACAGCGTATGAATGTGCATTGTGTTCTGATTGGCTATCAATAAATTCACTCCGTTCCTCTTCTCTGTCCAGTACAGAATGTGTTCAGCTCGGTTTGTGAATTTCCTCCACGACAAAACCCACCATGTCGACGAAACGTTCTGCACTGACAAAGGCACTTGAAGACGTGTCAGAAGGCAAAGGAAGAGCCAAACTGTCACAGAAAAAGCTAAACTTTTGGATACAAATAGGAAAAAAAGTACCAACAACTAACAATGACTACGTCCTTCTCTCGGAAAAAGACACCTGCACCTCGGCCTCACAGTCAGAGAGGAAATGTGAAAAATGCATGAGTCACAATGTGTCCAATCTTGTTGCAGTCTTTCTAAAAACTATCAGTTATTTGTAAGGAAGCAAATGCTTGGACCTGAAAACAGGTTTTGATCTTTGGTTTCGTTCTTTAGTTCTGTATAACAATATCTAGTAAATTTTTACAAACTAGGTTTCACCTTTCAAACTGGCCTGAAATAAATTTGTATTCTAGTTTATTGAGTGACCAAAACTGAGATGTAAACCATAACTTCACATCTCAGTTTCTGAAACAAATGTTTGACCACGACTGTGCAACTCATGAGCTCAACTCAAAGCTCAGAACTGAATCTGTGCTGACTGAAGCTGTAAGGTTAATGGATGTTGGAGTAGGCGACCGCTCCACTCTATCTCCCTGTAATATACTCCCATCAGCCACTTCATTAGGCAAACTCTTCACCACTCCAAGGTAGAAAAAAAAATGAAGTGAGAACGCAGAAGATGAAGACAGATGGAGTCAAAGAAAGGCAAAGACAGAAATGAGACGGTGGTAATTCCTCTGGATTAAGTTCAATAAAGGTGACAAATACCTCTAACAACTCTAAAGTTTGAGCCTGGCTGAATAGATGGAGATGGCAAAAAAAAAAAAAAAAAAAAGGAGGGGTATATAATAGCATCCGGTTCTTTACCTGGGGTAAATGTCAGAGCTTTGGAGGCACTAGTGAGACTCTAGAGAACACATGCAAGCACTGTTTCAGAAATGTCCTAACACTCAATACCTGCCATGCTACAGTGACAAGCACAGGCATTAAGCCCTATTAAGCCAAGGGCATTGCCTGGACACTTATGTGGTGCTAGATGGAGGAGGAAGCCAGTAAGGCAGCCTGGCTCAGGTTTCAGAGCTCCTCTGTGTGTGTGTATGCGTGGGTGTGTGTGTAGCAGGATCCCCTGGCTCCTTCAATCCCACTCTGAAGGAAATGTAGCACTTTGGCTGTCCGAATGGCGGAAATAAAGCTTGTGCACCACACTGAGGACACAGAGTACACACCTCGCAAAATAGATTTATTACGGCCATGCATCTTCACCAAGAAATTATAGCAAAATTATGTATTCATTCAATTATAGATTCAAATTGCCTTTCAAATATGCCACCTTAGCAGTAGCAACAATAAAGTTAACAGAGCTAATAGAATTACACTATAAATACTCAGTAAAATAAAAGTAGGCTCTAAAGTGTTATGTAAATTTAGTTTTACTTGTTCAATTAGTGACTACACGTTTCCCTGTAAATCCAGGAGCATCCTGTTTAGATATTTTATATGATAACACATTTACATTGTATTTTCTTTTTCTTTTTAAATGAATTTACCTTGGAACGTCAGCCTGAATAACTGTGTTCCTCAGCCAGTCATTCTGTTCTATAAATTAGCTGGATTGCCACCATTATTCCTCTCCAACCAGCTGGGAGACAGAAATCAATGCCAGGTCTTGGCTACCAGATAGGACAGTCCTGCAACTATCACATTGGCCTTTCCACCATCTCAGTTCAGTTTCTTTCTCTGTAGAAATGTACTTTTCTCTCCTGTGTTTTAATATTCCTACTTCTTGTCTTGTTTGGAGTTGTACCACATAGTGCAACAATGCAACATCTCTACCACCAGTTAAGGTGAAAATGTATCTTATTGCAATCTGAAATTTCCATTCAAGCTCCTGGTTTTCCAGGCATGATCCAATTTCCAATATTAAAGTATATATCAAGATTTTCAAAAGCTATAAATCAAGACTGCGAACTTTTTCCATCAAATGTTCCTTGCAAAGTCCTAAAATAAAAATAAAAAGAATCTGCAACCAATTTGTTCAGCGAGATGTACAGTAAATGAGTGCTGACCTTCCCCAACTTGTTGCTGTGCACTTCCATTCTCTTCAGACAAGCTTCGTGTGAAAACTAAACACTCATCACTCTTACTAAGCTAACACTGTTCTATAACGATATAGAACAATGATCTACATAGTTTAAACTAATAACAAATTTAGTGGGTGTTTTTATGCATTTTTAATTATGTTCATCCTTCAAAATCAAAATGTTCTGTAACTTGAAATAATCAATGTATATTTTTGAAAAGCAATTAGATTATGTTGTGAATTTCTTGTATTATTTACCAGGTTTTCATACCATGAAAATGAAACAAACAAAAGACCAGTCGTAAAGCAGGAGAAATTGATTTCTTGCGGATACACTGCAGACAAAAAGTTTGGAAGCAGTTCCAGCACAGGCCAGACATTCCTGTTTCTGTTCAGAGTTTTATGGGATTTTTTGGAGCTACAGCATGTTCAGACTTTCTTCGTATTGGCATGACTATTGTCATCATCTTGCCCTTAGGCATACATTCAGGTTAGCAGACCATTTCTGAACGAACAAGTC